TTTAAATTTTTGGTAATGCTGTAAGAAGTTGCTTAAAAAGAGGTACTAAAGGTTATTGCTTGCTGCAGTAAGTAAATGTAAGAAGTTTGTAAAAAGTCGTCAACTTAGATGACAAAAAGCACTTTATGTGTTGAACAGGATTTAAGTAAGAAGGAAATTAGATACATTTCAATGTGCTTATGCTGATTTAAAGACTGTTTTGCAGTAGGTTCCTCTAGTAGAAACGGTGTAACAGTTGTTGCTGTAGTACCTTATGGAAGAGTTGAAAGTATCTTTCTCTGCCCTAACTTAAAACAAACAAACAAAAAAAAATCCCACCAAACAAAACCCTTGATAGTGCTAATGAATGCTTAGCTTTTTTAATTGATTGGGTCTTTCTGAATTGCTCCCAGTTCCCTTCCCAATTTTCTTTTCTCTGTATTAAGGAAAAAAAAAACCCAAACTGGTGTATCATTTGAGTTCTGTTTGCTGAGTGTGTAAAGCACAAGCAGCGGAAATAAATGCAAACTTCCTGTAGCATTCTGTTATGGGTCTTGGCCTTGAACCAGGGGTGACTATCACTAGGAGTTAGATGTTCATTTTTCGTTAGTGTTCAGTCTTTGGCTGTTCTCTTGAGACTGTGAGTAACGGATTTGTCTGGTAAGTTGATTAAGAAGTTTGCTCATAGGCAGAGTCATGAAGTTAACAAAAATGTTCAGATAGAAAAGCTTTGCCATAAGCAGTAATTAATAATCTTTTTATGTGGGTCACTTAAAATTTGCGTAAAAGAAATGATCGGTTTCAGGATGAGCATGTAAATAAAGGGATGTGCGTTTTAGAGCATTACTGAAATCTTACAGTTTAAAAATATTCTTTAATTAAGTTCATTAGTTTGACACTGCAGTTAGAATTATGGCATTGAAAGCTGTGCTGTAGTTGTGTTACAGCAGAGTTCAGACATCCCATCTAGACTGAGATATTGTTGTGCTAATGCAATGACTAGTCTAGCAAAGAGTTCGTTTTATGAAAATCTCAGTGAAATAAATAACCGGAACTCGATTTTTACTTTCTTAACTAAATTGGTGAAGTATTCTTATGCACCTTGAAGATCAATTCCATTGAAACAAACAGAGAGACTGGGGGATTCCTTTGAATTTTGGGAAAAGCTGTAGTACAATTTACCTAAAGTCATTGAGTACAATTTGAAACTTGTTTTTTGTAAGGTGAGATATTGGATCATCTGGAAAAATAATTAGCTCAATTATGCCTTTCATACAATAAAGAAAACTTATTTTAAAAATTGTTTTTCCTTCCAAAAACAGCAGGAGAGAAAATTACCTCCTTGAGCTTGTGAAATCATTGCCTTCTGCACTAGTATTTTCTGGTTTGTATTGGCAAAAGTGGATAGTGGTACTAGTGAATGATGTTGAATTGCATAGTTAAATCCTGTGACCCTGTAGGTGTTTCTAATAGGCTCTAAGCAGCTTTTGAGTCTAGATCAAACTAAGGCATGGTGAACTCAAGTTCAGCTGTGAGTACTGTCACATTTATTCTTGCTTATAGGTGGACAGATTTCAAGCTTGCTTGTTTGATATCATTAGAGGGAAAAATACTGAATGTTTGATTCGCCTATGAAAGAACATTAGATAAGTTAAATACTAGTTTATTATTTTTCCATAATTTATTTTCTGGTACTCTGGTGTATTCTGAAACTTGTAAGTACCTGTGGCTTCTTTTTTACGGGAAAAGAAAATTAAAATTCTTGAGAAGACAAAATAGATCCTGCCATGACTATTCCTTACTTACGTGTACTGAGTGTGTGGAAAAAAATTTCAGGTATTTAACTCTCTTGATCCTGAGGATGGAGTAGTTCGCTCTGTTTTCCCTCTGGTCCTAGAGGCACTGGTGTGTGCTTACCTAATTTAGATGAATAATAGAACTACTCCAAGTAGTAAAATTAAGCATGTTCATCATGTATACAAAATTAGTCCCAGGTGTAGTATTGTAGTCAAACTTAGAATTGAGATTTACTTCATTGTCATTTGAGTTGTTAGGAATTCTGAAACATTTGAAGTGAACTGATGAGAGCCTTCATTTTTAAACCATGTCTTAATTCAGGAACAAGTGGGCACTAGATAAAGTTAATGGCAAGTATATTGATTTTTATTTTTTTTAAGCCCTAATAAATCTTTCTTTGTATAACAGGAGGCTAGCCTCAAAAACTAGCTTGTGAAAACTGTGTGGATTTTAAAATATATATATTATAATTGTGTAGATAATAAGGATAGTCAGAGTTGGGTTTGGATATGGAGAGTTTGTTGCAACCTCAGAAAGGAAATCTGCAGTCCTACATGTGCTGTATAACTTCCTGTGAGCTTTCAGTGGTATAGCAGGCTTCTTTTGAAGCGGCAAATACTGGATGCTGGCTCTTCAGATACTATGCTTGGTGGGAAAGCTAGCCCTAGGGCATGTGGGCAGACCAATCCCAGACAGATCTGTGCAATGGAAATTATATGCACTTGTGCAGATAAATGTTTTGAACCTGGAAGAACTTCAAAATGTATAAAGAGCAGCCACTAGGCATAATGACCAATTGAATGGAGATAAGGGTGTCAGTATAATATGTAGTCATTAGAAAAAGCCATGAATAATTAGCATGTGTTTCTGATCATGTAGCTGTGGGTTCAGTTGTAGTATCTGTGTGAATATTTGAAATATGAACATTTGGTATAATCCCACAGTTTTCTTCTGTTTGAATCCCATTGAACTTGTTGGTCAGAGCATATTGTCTGCAAGAATTGCAGAATTCAGAATTGCGTTAGTCTTTTCATTCAACTGGGTTCCTTGGAGACTGTGTGCTTTCTTAAATCAGTCCGCTTTTTATTTCTTTCCCTGAAGATCCAGGTATAACATTTTGCTCCAAGTATGTTCAGGTGATTTCTTCTTTAAAGGAGCTGTATTTCCGAGAATGTTTTGTCTCGTGGTAAATAATTGTAAAGCAGTGTTTTATATGTGAAATAGGAATTTTTCTGTAGAAAAAAAGCTGAGGCTTGGTACATCTTGGTAATAGAGGATTTTTTAGTATAAAAAGTGATTTATAATAGATTTATAATGCAGTTTAGAGCCAAAGGTCATTGCGCTGGGTGTCAGATTAAGGGATTCTTTAGGGAGGAGTGTTTGTAACATGAAACTGGTGAAGTAAGAGTGCGGGTGGAGCTGAAGCTTAATTATCCTGATTAAGGTACAGCCATTTCAGTCCTGAAGAAATTGTTATATCAGAGATCATAGAACTACATATATGTGTAATTTAACCCATTGTCAGTTTCAGAGTTCATTATGAAATAACACAGAATTTCCTTTTAAGATGTGCAAAAGCTTTGTACTGATTGGGATGACATATTGGGAAGGACTAAATTGTTTTTTTTTAAATTAAACCAGCATACTGAAAACAGGGAGTATATAGTACTTTACGTACATGCTTCTTAATCTTCAAAGTGTATCAGTGGGAGAGGGTATTCCTGTTCTTCCCATTTTACAAATAGGGGAGGTGGGTGCTATAAATGAAACTAGTCCTGGTTTGCTTTTAGTTACTTAGCCAAAGCTCTGCTGTTTTTTAGTATGGAGGCACTATGTAAGTTCCACTGCTTGAAGAGAGGAGGTCTCTGCCTGTAAAGGCGTAACCTAGAGTGCCTAGATTATAGTCTCACAGGCACACTTTCAAATACAACCTATTTGGCGTGTCATTGTGCTTTCAAGTTGTTAACCACTTTTGTGCTTTCTTTAGTGATTTAAATACCTAATATTGTGTCCTGCCAAGTCAGAAACTGGCTTCTTGTCTTCAGTGGTTGTCACTCTCAGCACATATGCTGGTTTGAGAGACTACTGCTTGCATCTGAGAAGCAGTATTGGCTCAATTTGCATGTAGTTAAGTTATGATCACAGTTGGTATATTATTTATGCGAACTAAGTGTGCATAATTCTAGGATTGCTTGGTTGGGAAAGTTGTAAACCCAGAGCAGGAATATCAGCTACTCTAGTGCAACTCTTTCTGTGGATTTGGTTGCTGTATGTGTTCCTATATCCATTGCTGAAATGAGAGAATTTGTGTTGCAGGCAGGTTATTTCACTGCCTTTGTTTTAAGGATGAAGGATTTAAAAAAAAAAAAAAAAAAAAAAATTGGCAGCAGTTATCCTATTCCCTCTGCTCTTCAGTCTTATGTTTTGCCTGTAACCTGTACTCAAGTGCATGTTACTGGATTAGGTGACTGTAAGACTTGATGGGGCAAATTTTAACAGTTGGTATGGTAATACTTGGTTAAAAGTCTCAAGCTGCAAATACAAAAAATATTTAGAAAAGAGTAGGTTTGCATGGGAAAGTCTGTAGTTGGTAGGTCTGCAGTAGAAAGCTCCCCGTATGTTGGCAAGTAAGGTAAAGTTGAAGTTTTTCCTGAAGTTACCAGTCTGAGTTGGATGTATGGGACCCAGTAACTACAGTGAGAAAAATGTACATTGGTAACTTTGAAACAGAACGAAGAATTTGCTGTTTTAAAACAATACAGTTTGGGATTTTCTCTCATTGTTAAAAATTCAGTTTCTTTTAATAGGACTGAATTTCCTTTTGAATTTGTCTGTCAGTTTGTGGCATGCAATTTTGTCAGCTGAGCCCTCTTAACTCATAGTGCATGTGGTTAGTCCACTCAAATTGTGAAGTAAAATATGTTAAAAGCCAAGGATTTTATGGCAATTGAAATGAATTAAATTTCAGAGCTTGAATTTACAGGTCTATGTGCAAGTGTTGCTCTTGACTTCATTAGGTACAACTTAAGATCTTTTTGTAAGCTGTTTCCAGTGATGCACAGATACTTTTCCTTTGAAGAATAGCTCGTAGAGTTATCAGTATAGTGTATTTTATACTGTAATATCTCTCACTGACTTTTGGTTTTTTCTTTCTTTTTTTTTTTTTTTTTTTTTTTTTTGTTTTTTGGGGGGGGGTGTTTACTCTTGTCTTTCAAGTTGGGTTTGAAGATTATGGACCAGACTGTGATAGCATGAGGATAACGGCATTCTTGGATATTCCTGGACAGGATAATTTAACTCCACTGGCTCGTCTAGAAAAATATGCCTTCAGTGACAACATATTTAATAGGTAAGGATAAAACAGCTACAATTGATGATACCCTGACTCTGATAGCGTTGTGGATGTTAGTGTCGTAACTTCTGTTATCATTCTCCTAAGCGCATGCCTAATGTTATTTCTGTTTGAATAACTTTTATATAATATTTCCTTAAAAAGAGGTTTTCATTCTTGGTTATCTGAATAAGATTTGTCAACTCCATCTTTGTTTTGTTGGGATGTGGAGAAACTGTATAACTGATATGTCTGAATGCTTAGAGAAGAGCTTGATCTTTAAGGTGCCTATTTACATTTGACTTCCCCTTGCATCCCATCTGCGTGACGTTGGCAGGATATTAAGGCAATTAATATGTTGTTCACTCTGCAGGCAAATTATTGCCAGAGGTCTTTTGGATGTCTTTCGAGATTTCAGTAATAATGAAGATGACTTCCTGACTGTAATGGAAATAGTGGTCAGGCTCTCTGAAGATGCAGGTTTGAAAGTTTTGGGGTTTTTTTTGTGTGTCTGTGTGTTGTGTCATTTTTAATTTTTGTAACTTGTTTTATAAGCTGTAATATAGAAGGCAATGCGTGAACTAAAGAAATGAAATCTTTTAACAGCAATATCTGTCAGTGAAAACAGGATTAATTTTTTTCTGGTTTTGAAGCATTTTATATGGTCGGTGTATAAATGAAAGCCTCTTTATTTTCAAGGAATTCATTAAGTCTGAATGTGTGGTGTATGTGTCACAGAACAGTTGTATGCTTTAATACTTCATGTCCATACATTCATGGTAATTGGGTTTTCCAGCTAGTGCTCTTATTTTATCTGATTTTTCTGGGAACTGATCCCAAGTCTCTGGGCTGTGATGATGTATGTAAGGCTGTTCTATTTTATTTATCTTTCCTTTAAGAACAGGCAATCTCAGTGGTGATATTTCTTAGGTTTTGAGTCTTTTCACTTTCCTCTGTTGTGAAACATTAAACAAAAAAATGCTACTTTTTTTCTTAAGGTACTTGATCTTAATTTCATATTTACTGATGTAGTTTTGTCTCTCCTTTTATTACTAGAACCAACTGTACGTACAGAGCTGATGGAACAAATACCTCCTATTGCCATTTTTCTGCAAGAAAGTCGACCAAAATTCCCAACAGCATTTTTTGAGTACCTTATGCCCATAGTAGTGAGATACCTCACAGATGTTAACAATCAGGTAGGAAAAACAGACTACATGAGTTGAATTGTTGGAAAATTCTGTGTGGCTCAGTGAATTTGAGGCATGAGGAAGACATAATAGGAGAGTTTGTGTTGATTGATACCTAGCTTTTACATTGTGCTTTGTGTTTATTGGTTTCAGCACACTTTGCTAGGGAGGTCTGAATATTTTTTTTAAATATTTTCCTTAGCAGGTAATGGGCAACTTACATGAAAAACAATTGCTCACCACCAACTGACTAATGCCCAGCCTGTCCCTGAACAGTGGCCCCTTGGCCAGCTTTCCCCTAGTTTATGTACCGAGTGTCACGCCGTATGGTATGGAATGGCACTTTGGCCAGGTTGGGTCAGCGCTCCTGGCTGTGCCCCCTCCCAGCTTCTTGTGCAGCTCCAGCTTCTCAGTTGGTAGAGCATGAGAAGCTGAAAAGTCATTGACTTGGTGTAAGCACTACCTAGCAACAACTAAAATGTCAGTGTGTTATCAATGCTATTCTCATACTAAATCCAACACACAGCACTATGCCAGCTACTAGGAAGAAAATTAACTCTATCCCAGCCAAAACCAGGATGGTCATACCTGTATGTTCATTGAAAACATACCTTTTGTGGTTCTCATATCAGTAAATAATGTTTTTACAGTGATGTACTTGTTTTGTTTGTTCATATCAATAGGTTAGAAAGGCAGGTCAAGAAGCACTGCTTATACTGTTAGAACAAGATCTTGTTGCCCAGAGTGACATTGAAAATAAGGTGTGTCCAATTCTGTTGGACCTCTCTGCTCCTGACAGTGATGATGAGTACAAGGTGGAAGCCGTGAATGTAAGTGAATTTGGAAGAAATCTTGTTTCTTTACTTTTTTTCCTTTTTCAATAGTTTTTGCTCTCTATCTTTTAGAAGTGCTGCTATAAAGCTCTTTTAGAATGTAACAACTTTGTGTGAGATTTTCATGAGCATAAAACCCAGAAAAGAAAAATTTTACTTGCATTCTTAGTGTCCTGAGAGCTTTACATTAATCATTGAACTTAAACTTTCTATACCATTACTATTTCAGTTTGTTTTATTCCTTGTCTATTTGTTAGTTGCTCTGTTGTGAATTGAGAAACTGCTGTTGTGATACAGTTGAAGCTTAAGTGTGCTAAGCTGTTAAGCCTTGAATCTGTAGGTTTCTTAGTCATTTTTAGTGTTGAGCACCATTGAAACAATGTGAATTCTCAAAGAATTTGGACAGGATCAGGACTTGATGCACCATACTGAGAGGTTAAAAATGATCTTAACTGAATTTAAGAAGAAAACAAGGTTGTCCTGAGTACTGTTTATTAATGCCTTTGGCTAAGTGTAGAGGTACTTTGGGTAAGCTTTCTCTAGGTCCTATACCTTCTTGTATGATGAAGAAATCTGGGCTTTTGTGTCAATGAAGTGCTTGAGGAATCTTTTTGAAATAGTGATTCTTGAAAATTGAGCTATATAGTACAGCAATTGGGAACAAGAACGTTATCATATGCTTAAAAACGTAAGGTATCATGTCTTCAAACTCAGTAGAAGTTATTTTCCCAAAATGATGAGGAGTGTTTTCCTATAGATGATTGATGATATATTGAGTACTTGAATTGAGTATTAAAAAGACCTGCCACTCTTTTTCATTTGTAACAGTACTTAAGATGAGGTGCAGGAATAGTGCTGACATTCAATAAGCAATCAAACCTTCTGTGTTTATTCATGAACATACTTTACTTTTTTAGTTTAACACAAAGATCTTTAATTCTTACTCTGAATATTTTAAAAGATCAGGTTTAAAGAGATCATCTTCATACTTCAGGACGCCAAATGATTGTCAAAATGGTAGCCAAATAACTAAAATGCAGTTGGCTCTTGGCAGCCTTGTTTTAATTCTTGTTAAGATTGTTATGTTCCCCAACAGTTTCTTTACATTTGCTCTACTAGGTTTCACAGTAATGTTGTAAAAGTATGAATGATGACCTGATCTTCATTCTTAAGCATTTAAAAAAAAAAAAAAAAAAAATCCCTGTTCACTTTCAAGAAGTCAGTTAACTCCACAGAAAAGTGCTGGTGTGTAATTACATTTCAGCATGGATATCTGATACTTGACCTGTAAAATAATTTTACCAGCTAGATTTTTCTCTTCCTTGTTTGGGAGTTGGGTATCACTTAGGCAATTTTCCAGGGTGACATCCGAGCACCAGATGCCTTTTAGGAGTTTGAAAATTTGTAGTAAGGTCCTTGAATGGTGTCTTCCTTAGTTCTTATTTAGTGTTCTGCTACAAAGGCAAACGTTTCTAGGAATAAAGCTTATTTTTGTGGAGGTAGAAAGCTTCAATAATGTTGGAAAAATAAAAATAGAAACATGAGTGCTATTAACCTGACAACACTTGTCTAAGCATTAAACTCCTGGTGCTGCAGGCAGAACAGTTGAGTAGAAAGGTGCATGGGAGCCCTTTCCTTTTTACTGTTACAAATACAAGAATTACAGCAGGTTATCCCAGAAAGCGGGAGCTGAAAGGAAGTGTACAATCCAAAGCACCTGATTTTCACAGCAGAAACATGGTTTGTAATGGTAGTTAAAATTGACAGTTCCTCAGAGAAAGCTAAATTAATGAGCACGTTACTAACTTTCTTTAATTATGGTCGATGTCAACTCCTAAAATTTCTGAGGATGATTCCTGTAAAGCATGCATTAGCTCATGTATATAATTAGTTTGTCTTAGTCTTCCTTTTCTCTCCTGTTGTGTGGCAAAATTCTGTTTTATCATGTTGTCTGAGCCTATAAAGAGCTGGGGCTGTGCTTGTTTTTAAGTATCTGAACAGTCCTGTTAAAGCCAAGGGGCTTACTTGCATGCTTAAGCTTGAGATATTTCTAATATGCTTAAAGATGGTGATTTTGTGTGCTGGCTAGTGCAATGGAACTTTTGTCTTCTCCATACAAATGATCAGTGTATGTCACATTGTAAAACACCTTGACAATGAATTTATTAATAAAAGTCTATTTAACTGGATAAAAAACCACAATGAATTATGTGCAGAAATGTTATGTTCAGGCACAGTGATGTAGAATGATTTAAAATAAAACCTGTATTTGTGCTTTACGTAAAACAGGTGTATGGAAATACAAATAATGTATAGCAGTTGAATCTATTTGATGGTAGTTGCTCTGATATTTTTAGGAGGAATATTTGGCCATGCTTACAAGCTTTTTTATTTTCTTTTCCTTACACATATCCCCTTCTTGATATTTAGATAATCTGTAAAATGGCTTCTATGTTGAGCAGAACCACAGTTGAGCACATGTTGCTTCCTCGTTTCTGTGAACTGTGCAGTGATGGGAAATTGTTTCAAGTCCGAAAGGTTGGTGTGTTTTCAACCCTAAACCACTTAAAAATGAGTTTTTATGTTGCTGTTCAAATGCCTTCCTGAATAATTTAGTCATAACTTTAGGTGATGAACTTCGAAAGAGCCTGGAAGAGCAGTTTTAATTTATTGGCATGGTTATAGTTTCTGTAGTTCAGTAAAGAAATAGATAACAGTCCTTGGTGAATGGCTTTGGTGTAGCAGTTAAACTGATCTTGCACATTTAATAGTTTTGCACAACCATTTTTTTTAAGGCACTGTGCTTGCTTATAAGATGTAAACAAGTTATCTAATCTCCACCATCTTATTTCAAAACCAAAAATTCAAAAGTAATAGATATTTGAGACATCCTTCCTTTTAAAAATAAATAAATCTGGTATTACGGAAAGAAGAAATCCCAAAAGTGTAAGACTTACTTCAATTCATGGTCAAGTACAAAAGGGAGCTTGTAGCATAAGAAGTCTTAAAATATTTGAGTAGACTTAAGGATCATGCAGAGCTTCAGTTTGGTCCTTAACATAAGCTGCACTTGTTGGAATTTGAGCTGCATTGTAGCCTTCTAAGTAAGCATATAGACGGAACAAATCGTATGTTAACACAGTTGTATCTTAATTGATTTCAGATTTTGGCAACATCTTTTTCCAACATGAGGCAATGTCCCTTTTCCTTTAATTATAGTATTTGTAATGTACTGTAAATGGCATCCACTTGAGACCTTGATTAAACTTTGCTTCAGCAAAGTACTTAAGCCAGTCTCAGCCATAGCAAAGATAGTTCTGTCAGTACACCTAAGTCCTGACCCTTGTATCATATTTTAGTCTGCTTTGGTTTTGACAGCTGCTATTCAAAGTAATTTAAACTTTCAAGTAGGCTTATTAGTCCCTTTTAGTGGTTACTGAAGTAGATAATGCTCTTCATGCAGAAACTGTTATTCCTTTTCATTTCAGAGGCATATGGCTTATGGAAGCTTGCTATAATGAGTCTTTTCTAGGGATGAGTTAATATTACAGGATGTAGTTACATGGGTGAAATTTGAATAGTCAAACATGTGCAGTTGTTACATCGGATAAATAATGCATGGTGAAGTTGATAATAAAAGTAATGCACTTGAAAGAGCCAGAATGATGTTAATGACTTTTTTTATTTCTTAGATTTGTGCAGCAAATTTTGGTGACATTTGTAATGCAGTTGGGCAAGAAGCCACAGAAAGACTGCTGGTATGTAAAAATCAAAATCAACTTACAGGACTTGTATTTCTCAGTTCAAAAGGTTTAATAATGAGTTCTTTTATTATGTCCTCTGTAAATTAATCAGTGTGCATGCATTTTTTTAAAATTGATTTGGCTAAGGCTCTGGTTGCAATTACATAGCAAAACTGGGAATGAATAGAAATGCAAAGTTCTTGTTTTGCAAAACACTTTTAAAATGTAATTGACAGCATATATATATATATACACACATACACACTTTAGAAGTACTGACTCTTTCTTTCTTTCCCTGAACAAGATGGTAAGTCAAGTTGCAATTTCAGGAAAAATAGGCCGTTAATAATTCTTTCTATTCTTTCCTAGTGCATATAGTTATATATAAAAACTTAATGAAGTAAATGGGAGACAGATGGTTTTTTCCAATTTCTTCAATTAATATATATTTTAACTTGTCCCTGTTTGTTCTATTCTTCACTTATTTTATTCTCTCTTGAGTTATTGTCTTCAGTTTCCAAACAAATACTTTGATAGTAAGTTGCTGCAGTCTTTGTTTAGTCTTTAATTAGTCTTGGTTTTGCTTATTTTTGGCAGATTCCCAAGTTCTTTGAACTCTGTTCTGACAGTGTTTGGGGAATGAGAAAAGCTTGTGCTGAATGTTTTATGGCAGTATCTTATACCACATCCCCGGAAGTTCGCAGAAGCAAACTATCCCCACTGTTTATCAGTCTTATTAGTGACACTTGCAGATGGGTAAGTAACTCGCTCTATAATTGATGCATCTTCCCGGGCAGATCATACACAAATAATGGGCAAGTCAGAAGTGTGCTGTAAAAGTTCTCTAAACTGAATTTGCTGAGATTAAGAGTCTAATCCACTAAAATCTGTTCTACTCTGATAAAATAGTATCTTTCTTATTTTTCCTCTCTCTCTCTTACTATTTTGAATTTCTATCAGTGGGTTTTTTTTATAAGTGTAAACACTCTTTTGAGAATAGGTTGCTTGTGTTAAAGGTATTAGTTGAAGTAGACAGTGATGTCCTTCAAATTTATAACTTTTAAAAAAAGTTTCCTTACTATGAATGTAGATCCATGCTTAATATTCTAACACCCTTTGCTTAGGTGTCACTTATTTGGTAATTGATAATTGGTTATATTTGGTATTAAATGAAGTTGTTATAGTAAGGACCAATTGGCTCTTACTAAAAAATTGAACAAAATTCTTATTTTTCAGCATTAACTCTGTGGGAGTTGCATGAATCCTGACTGCTGTCTTTATACTGTCACAGGTTCGTCAGGCTGCTTTTCAGTCTCTTGGCCCGTTTATTTCTACCTTTGCAAACCCTTCAAGTGCTGGTCTTTACATTCGAGAAGATGGGACACTGAGTATCCGACCATCAATGCAAGATGTGAATTCCAATTCCTGTCAGCCAAGCAACAATATAACTTTAATGTCCTCCAGTACAAATGCTGTATTGTCCAGGTAAAATCATGGGAAAGATGTGGTGTAGTGGAAGGGGGAAGAAAGAAGATAATTCTTCTACTTGCTCTTCAGAGCTAAAAATCTCGACTTGAGAATATAGTTCCAGAAAAGGTGTGAAGGGTGAGATCATACGTGTCTGTTTGAGTGTAGCCACATTATTTAAAAATTCACTCTGATGGGCTCACAGGAGGGTGAAGGGGAAACTGGTGAAGTAAAGCATAGTGGTAACATAAATTCTGTCTTTTTGCAGAGAAAATAAGCTGTAGTTGTTGCTGTCTTTTATGAAGTATTTCACTGGAAAGTATTGTTACAGAGTACTTCAGGTTTTATTTGGATAACTGTGTGTGTCTGTTACCAGTTCAGAACAACCAATGGAAATCAAACCGGAGTCATCGACTGAGGAGACTTCAGCTGAAGTTAATACCAAGCTCTCAGCTGAGAACCTAAATAAAGATACACGGGAAGAAAGTTCAGATTATTGTAACAATCCTGGAGAAGATGTGTCTCGATTGTCTCAGGGTGACCAAGTTGCTGCTGGTGTCATAGAAGTCACTAAGGACAGCAGTTTTCCTGGAACGAACTTAAGGCTACAGTCTGCTGAGGACGTATTTAATACTTTTCTATACTGGCGCCCTCCTCTGCCTGATATAAGTCAGGATCTGGAGTTGCTTCAGTTCAAGACTGAAAAGCACAAAGATAGCTGCTCTGTGCCATGTAATAGCTGTGTTGCTAGTAGTGAAATAAAAAAAGTTCTAGAAAGCTTACAGGAGCACATAGACGATCCAGACGTTCAAGGTGAGACTCTGTAACAGTAAAATTGTGTTTTCTCTGAGCAGGTTTTCTCCTGACCTTTACAAAACCCTTGACTGTGTTTTAATTGGCTTGGTATTCATAAGGTGATGAGACTTCCTTGAGTAGTAAATTATAGTAGAAAGTTATGCAACAGCCTTTTTCACAAGACCCGAGTTATTTCTAGCACAGCTGGGGAAGTGTTCCCAGCTCCTGTTTGCATGAGAAATAATTTGGATCTAACTATAAAAGGGAAAAGAATTTGTTGAAATTTGTTAAAGCTGTCTTTAATTTTAAGTACTGTAACTAAGTACTGTGGTTTTAGGGACAGAGCTAGCTGTTATAAGCTGAATTCATTTAATATTTGGTTGAGTGAGAATGGCCCTAATACCAAGTCATCTTTCCTTAGCCTCCCCATACGAGCCCATTGATGAACACACTGCAGTGTTGATAGCCTGATAGTGGGATGTATATGTGTGTCCTGGGCCAAATCCCTCCTGACAAGCCTGTCTGTCATCCACAGTCAACTCAGTTTCTTGTTCCACTAAGTCTCTTGAATACTCCAGTGAATTAACAATTTTCATCTGCCTGTTTATTCATCCCGTCTCTGCATGCCAAGTCATATCTGCAGGACCTGCAGCATCATTTGGATTCCTTGCTATAGTAGTAGTAAGCCGACTGGCAGCATGGCATATTTAGGTGGCTCCCCATGGCCATTCGGAAAGGTACGAGTAAAATAAAAGATTCTTCATGTATGAGAGGCAAAGGATTGGAAAGAGAAAGATTTAAAAGAGGAAGAGGTGAAAAAATTAAAATTTAAAGCCGTAAAGGAAGAAGTGGAAATTGAACGAATGAAAGGAGAAAAAAGTGTAAATGAGTTTCAGAAAGAAAAGGCAGAGAGTAAAAGCAAAAGGAAAAGAGAAAAAAAATTATGTAGAACTACGACAAATGGAGAGATGTTAGCTTGACAGCTACACAGTGAGAAATGAGGGGTGTAGAGGCATGGCGGAAAACAATGAAGAAGATTCACACACACCCACACACCCTGCCTTTTTTATTATGACTTTAGCTGAGGAGTCTTGTTTCCTTTCTCAGAAAAAGGAGATGTGGATGTTAGTTTCTGTTTTCCTCCTGCTCTAACTGCTAAAACACTCATAAATATGCTGGTAATCCATTTTTCTGCCTTTTTAAGTTGTCTGTTCCCCTTACTTCCAAAGTATTCTAGTATTCTTCACCTTTAAAGTATGCCCTAAAGTTTCATCTTAAGACTGTACTTGCCGTAGGCTTTTGCAGATGTAGCTATCTCAAAGTTTCTGCATTCTGAACTCGTAGTAACTCCATGTTCCTAGCAGCAGTGTAGCATAATGTGCAAATACAGTTTGTCCTAACTTTATTTGTGATACAGTGGTAAACCTGATCTTTTGTTTTCTATCTACTTCTGCAAAACGGTTCCGAGATGGTTTGACTAATTCCCTCTGGATAAAGTTTTTCTCAGAAATGTTTTAAATGCACATTGATGCCTTTTCCAAGCAGCTGAATCAATTAAAGAATGTAACAAAAGAATTTGTATCAAAATGTTTGACAGTATGAAGAGTGGGAGGTGAGCCATTATGCTCATTACAGGGGATTATTAGAAATATCTTTTAGTAGTAGAAATTGGTAGAACGCTTTTGCTGAAAATGTTAATACATCCAAGTCATTGCTCTTGATTTGTGATGGTTTTGTGGAAAGGTAATGGGCCTTTCCTTTCAAAGAGCAAATGTTTTGCTAATATACCACTTCTGTGCAGCTCAGACTGGGTTGCTTTTTATCTTTCCAGATTAACTAATTACAAGTTTAATGCTTTTTAGTGCAGAAGGGAGACTAAATAGTCTTCTCTTGCTTTATACAGCTCAGGTCCAAGTGTTGTCTGCTGCGCTTCGAGCTGCTCAGTTTGATTCTGTTGGTGACTATGAGACCAAAAAGATGGAAGAAAGCAGTGGCAAACTTCAGAACAAAACTATTTCAGATGAAACAGCTGTTTTGGATGCTACCTGCAAGCAGGTGGAGGAAGATGATCTTTCATCACCCGCCTCCCAGGATAATATCAGTGACCAGTCTACCACCAATATACTGAAAAGCACAGTAAGTATGCATTGTGCTCCATGTCTGACGTGAGTTCTTACCAGTGGAAGTACTGTGTGTGTTCACGTAGTCCCAGGGATAACTGACCCGATTCTGATCTAAAGCCTTTGAACATTACTACACCATAACTATCACACTACTTATTTTAATTAAAACAGAAAAAGAAAAGCTGTTGAGGGCTATTATTTCTGTTTGCACACAAATTACCTAAGAGTTAAAGTTCTGCAGTAGTCTTGTAGTTTTTTTCAGATGAAATGTACAAAGCACAGTTTTACCTCTTCCTGTAATGAATCTAAAAATAGTCTTTTATCTTCAGGCAAGAGGCTGAATCAGGTGGTGACACATACACAGTTCCTGGTTACTATGTCTTGATTATAATGTACAGATAGGATTAAAAAGAATTGTTTGTACAGTATTCAATGTTGTTGGAGCTGATTGTCAAATATAAAGAAAAACTCCTTGTCTATGAACAAAAATTGCACATAAAAACCTGTAAAAGTTCTGTATTTTACATTTTTGTTTTTGAACTTTGTATGGTTTTGGTCTTTTAAACCTTTTAATGCCTTCAAAGTTTTTTGTTGATATTTGATATGCTTCATAATTTCATAGGCTTGGGAGTTTCCAGCAGTATGTTCTAAAATAAGTAAAGCTTTTATCATGGTATTGGCTGACTTGGAGCAACTGCTAAGCTCTTGTTTAATATAATTTAAATTCATGCCAAGAATAAAAACTATTTAAGAGTATAGTAAAAGTAACCATGCAAAATCTGTATGAATGTTGGGTTTATTGTGTTAAATTAGATTGCTTTTTTTTTTAGAAGTAAATCTAACTACTGTTCCTCTTTTCCTGCTACAGTCTTAATAGCATTTCCCTTAGTGTACAACCCTGTTGTCTTTTTGTACTTGCATAAACACACTGAATCAGGCTTTGCCTGTGCAAGACTTTGTCTATAAAAGGCTCTTCTGTATCTGAATTGCGTTGTTCTGTAGTGTGATGCTTTGAAATATCCCAAACAGCAGTAAGTCTAATTCATTTCACTAGCTAGTACATCCTTTTACAGGACCCAGAGGAACAACACAGAGGAACCAGTGTATTTTTAAAGAAAGAACAAGAAAATAATCCACCATTTGAAGATGACAAGTCAAAATTACAGGTGACTTAAAATAGCATCTAACTGCTTTAGTGGAGTACTGGATACAGTTCCTCTTATCCTTAATACAATGAAAGCTTTTGCAGTTGATCAGTTGCAGAATGTGAAGAAATGCTCTGGGCATTTGAGGAGAAGCCTATTTTAAATCGGAAAGCTAGAAAAATTCTGTTGCCTTTTTGGTGCCTTAACAGGCAATCTGTGCCACCAAAGTAGGCACTGACTATACTGTTTTGTCACTGGATTTACTGTTTGTCTTCAGCAAAGAAGAAATTTTTAGTTTGGTTTGGTGCAACGTGTTGATAAAGTAATAATTACTGTTCAGTGCTGACTGCTCTGGCCTAATGAGGACAAATAACTATAGGGGTCATTTACACTTTGTAAAGTTAGCCCACAAAAGGGGCATCTTGCTACTGTTGGTGTTTTGCTGCCAGCCGGTTGGTAGCAAGAGAATACTGTAGCCCCACAGGTGTATTTTCTTTCTGATCTTAAAGTACATGTTGCTGATGAGCTGTCTCTATCTACAGGATATCATACCTCAACCTTTATTAGACCAGTACTTGTCAATGACTGACCCGGCTCGAGCCCAGACTGTTGATACTGAAATAGCCAAACACTGTGCGTATAGTCTTCCTGGGGTGGCCTTGACACTGGGCAGGCAGAACTGGCACTGCCTGAAAGATACATACGAGACGCTGGCCTCAGATGTACAGGTAAAAAAAAAAAAAAGCTTTTTAATGATAAATCAGAATTTTGAGTAGCTTTTCTGTTCAGTTTGTTGCACTGAAGTTATAACATCATATATTTTCTTATAAGGGATTAAATGTGCACTGAAAATATAAAAGTCAAGATTTAAATCAGACTTCATAAACATGATTAACATTTTCTACTGCTGTATAACTAGCCCTGTTTCTCTTTCAATCCTCACATAGGTGTAGTTCAAAAACTTTATTTTAGTTATGGTGCCTAATCTAGTTCACTTAAACTGTTTGCAGTGGAAGGTGCGTCGGACGCTAGCTTTCTCCATACATGAACTAGCGGTTATTCTGGGGGATCAGCTAACAGCTGCTGATCTGGTGCCAATTTTCAATGGCTTCTTGAAAGATCTGGATGAAGTGCGTATTGGTGTCCTTAAACATCTGTATGACTTTCTAAAGGTAGGAAAGTGTAACTTAATTGCTCAAGATAAAATTTTTTCTGTCTCCATTATATTAAGAGGTTTTTTTAATGAGATGTGCAGGTATCACTATCTAATTACATGTTTAGTTTTGTGCAATACTGCCATTTTGTGTGTGTGTCTATTGCTTTTTTAAGGTCCCTCACTTCTCTTCTGTCTCATATCCCAAAATAATAGAAAACTGAATACCCTTTGTAAATGTGGTTGTAAATGCTCCTAGCAGTTGTAAAGGAATCGGTATTTTGTGCAGTCCAGCTGGAGAGTTGGACCATTAGCTATTTGTGTTTGGGGCTGGGAGAGAAGAGAACAGATCCTGGTGGGCTGCTGCATAATAAACACAAATCCTTAGTTTTTGATTGCTTAGTCTTATGCCCAGAGACAGTGCTTTGATGGGTATCCTTGCAGAAGTAATGATTTAATGTACTTTTTTGGATGTCAGTCTTGTGTGTCCAAGTATTCAGCTGGTTGTGCACAATTTTTAGTAAGCATCTTGTGAATGATCACTTGCTTTCAAGTAGGAAAATGCACATAGGTGTAAATAGAGTAATACACCAGAGAACTGCAAGTATTGAATTTTACCAGTTTTATACTAGTAATATTTTTCCTTTAGTTACTTCATGCAGACAAAAGGCGAGAGTATCTTTACCAACTTCAAGAATTTGTGGTGACTGATAACAGCAGGAACTGGAGGTTTCGTTACGAGCTGGCAGAGTATGTAATTTTGTTAAGTTCTGATTTTTAATCTACATTACTAACTTGGAAATAGATACTTAGATTCAGAAGTTAGCACACCCTAATTAGGAGCTAAGAGATTACAACCATTCTTAATTAAGGAACTAAACTTAAAAGCTACTGGCTGTTGGGGGGGAGGGTTGTTTGTTTTGGTGGGGTGGGTGGTGGTGGTGAGTTGTGTTGTAATCAAGCATGACTGAAACTTAAATGTCTGTGATGATACCAAAAATGGAGATCTGGTTCACTTGCAGCTTATGAAATACGACAATCTGGTAGATGCTATTCAGTGAGGTTTCAGATTTTATTCAGTTCTAGACTGCCTTGTAAAAATCAGTAAAATGTATGTACAAAGTCACTTTCCTAATGTATATGAAAGAAAAAACAGTTCTTAAAAAAAATTAGTTTAGTCATTTGGTATTTCCATATGACTGGGTATATAATGGAGATAGAGTAACATCCCACAGTTCTTTTTCTACAAGCCCTGTTGATACTTGAAGCACCCAAAGAATGTTTGTAGGCATAGTCTGCAGCTAAAATCTGACCTTTGTGTTTATCTCACTGCTTTGTTTTGGCTATTGAGGATTTACTCTCCCTTTGTAGTTCGGCACAGCAAACTAAATCTTGCTCCGCTGCAAGAATGTTGTACAGCAGTTCCCTGACATCTAGTGGAGAGCTGTCACTTTGGTTTGTGCACGGCTGCTGGTAACGCACTGGCAGTGGTGTGGCTAGAATGGGTTCTGTGCAGTTCTGAGATACAAGCCTTTTCTTGGAATGTAGATTTCTACACCAAAGTAAATCTTCCATTTTTACTTTGCAAGAATGTACAGGATGTTGGTCTGAAGTTGAAAGAAACTTCTCATTGTCCTTCTGTTTGTAGCTTTTGTTATTATTTGGGATAATTTTGTTTCATTGGTACATCTAGTTTGAATAAAAGATTCTCTTGGATTCCTTGATGGATTAAAGCATGTACCTCTTTAATATGTATGTACGCCTTTATAAAGTAAAGAGAAGAACAAATTAAAGTGCTTTGTAATAACCATGGTGTTTTTGAGGGTTCAAGTGATCCTTCCCTATGTTTAACAGATGGCATAATCGGAGCAGGTTAGTGTTGTGCTTGCTGGAGTTAATAACTTTCCTTGTGTTTCAGGCAGCTGATCCTGATTCTGCAACTCTACAATCCCAATGATGTCTATGACTACTTAAGACATATTGCACTAACTCTCTGCTCCGATAAAGTTTCAGAAGTTCGGTGGATCTCCTTCAAACTGGTAGGGGATTTAGTTCACTTCCTGGCAGGAGAGGAGGAAAATGATCCTTGAGAGGGATACCTGAAATCACTTTGCTTTCTTTCAGACAAGTAGGGTGAATACAGACATGTTTTGATAAACATGGTAAACAATATGGGAAAAAAGTGAAATGAAAACTTTATAAAATATTTTAAGTTGTCAGACTTCCACAGATAGTAAAATCTTTCTCTGTTGGCTGTATATTAATGATAAATGTATTTTCAACTGGATGAAAACCAGAATACAGAAGACTTGGGAGACCTTCCCCCAGTTCTGGGAGAAAAAAAAAGTTACTGATCTTTCCTCAAAGTTGATTTAATTTGTTATGAACTTCATGATAATGCCATCACCCCATAGACATCCTGAATGAGTAGAACGATTTCTTCAGTTTCTTCTTTTTGTTCATGGCACCATGGAAAGGGGCATTATTTTAATGGTTATTTTAATTTATTTTAGTGGTTTTTGTTTCACCTGAACAAACACTTTTTTTAAAGCTTACGCTTTCTTTTCTCCAGTATAAGCACAGTAACTTATTAAATTCTGCAAGCAGAGCTGATTACACTGCATAGTTTCTGGTGTCCCTTTGTAGGATTCAAATGAAATGATGCTTTTTTAACTTTAAGGGCTACGAGTTAAGTCTCATCTCTTCTTGTCCCCTCCTTTTTCCCTTCCCCCTTCCTTTGCTTCACAGGTTGTAGCAATACTACAGAAGTTCTACGCAAACAATGCGAATGCACTGGGATTAAATTTCATTAATGAACTTGTAGTGCGGTTTCGTCACTGCTCCAAGTGGGTTGGAAGACAGGCTTTTGCCTTCATTTGTCAGGTTGGACTGTTCTCTCTCTGTGTTTCTATGTGTACATTTACTTCGGAGCCAGTTTGAGGCTTTTCAGCAGTGTGGGCAAAACTGAAATTCAGACTCAAGAATTTTTTTTGTCATTCTTTGGGTTCTGTGATTCTATGGGTTGACAAAAGACAGTGGCAGAGTTGGTCTGGTCTCAGGACTAGCATATGGCTATCCAGTTTCAAAGCTGTGGCCCTTGTTTTGTTCTGTGCCTCCAGCCAAAATACCAGAAAGTACAAGGATCAGCTATCCCAGTAGCAAGGTCAAGAATTAAGTCCTAAACTGAGATGCATTTTGTAATACTTTTGACAAGCTAGGTTAAAGGTTCACAAGAGCTCTTCAAACTACCAATGGGTGCTAGATGCCACGAACTATTTCCTTCTTTATTTCCACTTACCTACCCTCCTCCAAACCAAAAATGCTTACTTCACTAGCAATGAGGAGCAAGGGTTGAGTGTTGAAAGGCAGAACGATAAAGACAGGCAAGAGAGCAGTATTTCCTGAAATATAGTTGAAAGTAAGTTATCTGCTCTTGTTGGGTCATCTTCAGATGAACTTTAGAATGATAAGACATACTTTCATAACAGTATTTCAGAGGTTGTACTTATTTCATCAACATAGGGTGTATTTGTTCAGAGTTAAACAGTGACTTTTTTAATAGGCCAAATTAAGAACAAGATGGAAAGGAATGGCCAATAGTGTATTTTTAACATAAATCTTGCTTTCTCATGTTCTGTGTTATCCTGTAGGCTGTAGTAGAAGAAGAATGTATGCCTGTCGACCAATTTGTTGAACACCTACTCCCTAGTCTTTTAAGTCTTGCTTCAGATCCTGTGCCAAACGTAAGGGTGCTGCTTGCCAAGGCTCTAAGGCAGACGTTGCTGGAGAAAGGTGTGGTCATTAATTTCCTTTGAAAGAACTAACATCTCATGAATGCAGTCTTTCCTCTGCCAGCACAGTTCTTTATAAATTGGCTCAACTGGTAAAAGGCTGTTTGGTTCTGTTTGTGCTGAAAACAGAATTATACATTGTAATCTGGGATACTGCGTTTAAATTCAGATTCAGGAATATAGATTTAGGAACGTATAATGTAGTGGCTTTTCTATCTTGGAATATTTGATGGTCATCCCTAAAGGCCTGAAACGCACGGATGATCTGACCCGCGTCTCGGGAAGCTTCACCCGCTAGAGGGCAGCTACGTCCTTCGTCACAAGCAGCGCTGCAGCTACTGGGCGCTGCTGCGGGTGTCATTTTTGGTACCCAGGATGTGTAGGGCAAATATGTTTCTCTTAAACATCTCGTTAAATGCTTTTTATGCACTTCAAACCTTTTTGTTAATACAGTAGTTGTCTTTGGGGGCCTTCAGATGAAGTGGTGTACCTTTTTCTGAAATAGTTTGCTGTGTCATTTTAGTCTTAAGCTTACAGTTGTACTAGGAAAGAATGTAATTCTGTGCGCTGCTACAATTTTCTGTATTACAAGTCCTTAAACAAAAAAAATCAGCTGATCTCTGATTATTATTATTAAAGGAAGATGCACAGAAATCTCCTCTCCTATCTTTTTTCAGAATAAAGTATGGAGAATGTTTTGTCAAACATTGTACAGTGGCAGCTTCCTGAGCTTGCTTTTACTTGTTGATACATTTGTATTTAGGGCTCAGCAAAAAGAGTTTATCTTGGAAATACTGAAGGACCTGATCAGATGAGTAAGCAGCAGCGTATTTCTCTGTCTGCTTCCTTAGCTTGCTGTAGTTTCTCTAAAGAGCCTATAAATTGGATGAGCTATCCCAGATGTTCTTGGCATCCTCTGTATTTCTGCACTACTTGTGCCCTAGGGTTTATTCTTTTGGCTTTTTTTGATTAAAATTGTTTGTTTCTCCCCTTATTCTAGCTTATTTTAAAAGTGTTGGCAATCCTCATCTAGAAGCTGCAGAAGAGACCATTCTAGCCCTGCAGTCTGACAGAGATCAAGATGTGTCCTTCTTTGCCACCATAAAACTAAGACAGGGTAACATGGACAGTACTACCATTGAAAAACAAAACTAATGTCGTCTTCTGCAGTAAATACTGAACATGGAAATGGTTGTTTGCCTTATGTTTGCAGTTAGTGTGAATAATGTGGACAAATAAGGTTTTTGTTACCTACTTGAGCTGGAAAGGGTCTATTGAGAAATGTTATGATACTTGTTTCATGACCACCCTTCATCTACAGCTGTGTGTTTCTGTCTGATATGCATGAGTAATTCCTTTTGGTTTTTTCTTTGTAAATGTGGGTGATAACCCTGATCTCGACTGCAGTTAAGTACTGTATGTAAAGTCTTGCACCATAGGCAGTGTTTCAGAGTAACTGGAATTCATATTTCACTTTTTAACAAAACATTTCCAGTAATAGAGCCGTCTGCTGTAGCTTAACATGGTTTCTAAATCTTAAAACCTGATTAAGCAAACTTATACAAAGATATTCTTTCCTCACTTTTATTGTAGTTTTTGTATTGTTTCAAGTATTGCATTTTAACTGAAGAAAGTGTATATATGTGAATAGTTTTCAATTTTAACAAAAAATTATGAAGAACTTAATCCTGTATCAGTGGGGAAAAGCTCAAAAATCATTTCATTTTATAAAGTAGTAACTCTGCTAGAATGAAGGCATTGTTCATTTTTACTTAATATAATGTGATATTTTTCAAAGCACAGAGTGCTCCAGATTCTTTGTATATTGTGACTTTTCTATTAATTTGTTATTTCTGAGCTATACCCTTACAGGTGTGAACATGTCTGTTTTCGTTACTGCTGGCTCTGGTAGTGGTAGGTAGACTGTAAATTTCCCAAACTGACAATTACTCATTCTGCACTAGCAAAGTTCACTTCATTTAAGGGATTCATTTCCCGCAATGTGTGCTATATCTGTAGAAGGGTACTACAGAATTTTGCAGGCTTAAGTTTTTGTTTCTTTGTTTTACGTACATGCCTCACTTAAACACCTTTTATGTGGTTCAACGTTCAAATCCCAAACAGCCTGCTACTTTGTTCCTAAGAAATGAAGGACCTCTACATTCTGAAAAACCCCAAATAGCAAATGTTCAGGGGAAAGGTGGCAACACAGTTTGCTCCATAATTTCTGTTGATTGTATGGTAAGGTTTGGGGCAAACAACAAATGAAGTTTAATGGCATCCTTAAGCTTAAGTAGGATGTGTTCTGTGTATTTAAACAGGTGTTTTGGAAGAAAGAATATACGGATAGAACACAGTTCTGTTAATAAAATCGGATAGCTTCTGCAGTTTGAAAAATTAGAAAGCTAATATTTTTTGGTCGATCCTGTCTTCTGTTGTGTCCCACATCTGCAGATAATGTGGGGCCTGGAAAATAAATAGTCTTACTCTTTTTTTAGATTGTGGATTGGGACTTTGTCCTGTTGAAAAACTAATGCTTAAATACTAAAGAAATGGTTTCATATAATAACAGTGACTTTCTCTCTGTGAACACAATACTTTATCGTAAATAGACCTGTGTAAATATTTCCCCTTATTTCACTATTATACTAGTAAAGTAGTTCACATGGGTGAAGGTTTTTACAGAAATTACTTTTTTTGTTTGTTTGTTTTAAATCTGGCTTGTCTGCAATACAGCAAGTAGGTTCCTCAGCTGGGTTCTGTATTTTTGGAGGGCTCGGTTTTGTGTAAGTTTAACTAGTCTTGTATTATAACATGTACAGTATTTGTAACAAACTGTTTTCTTGAGATCACAAAATGCTTTTTGGAAGTTGCAGGCACTGATACCACTGCTATCACTGCTATTACAGCAAACAGTATAAACTGTGTAAACTCTGCAACATTCTACATTTTATTTTTTACTTTTTTTTATAATTTAAAACCAATGCTTCTTCAGTACAGACTTTCTATGATTGCAATTTCTTAACAAGAAGACCTCTCAAGTTAATTTTTTCTAGTTTTAATATCTTTTTCTAATGCTGGCATTATACTGGTATTTTCTAACAGTTCAAATTTTCTAAGGCCTTTCTGACAAGGTTTTACTTCTGTTTTTTATTATCAGTTCACTAAATTTCTCAGCACTGAACAAATGTTTTTTAAGGGTGTGTATATGTAAGTATGTTTGAAACGTACTGTATATAAATTACATACTTTGACCATTAACCCAACCCAGGTTTCTGTTTGTCAGATAATCTTAAATAATTACCTTTACTTGCAATAATCCACTGGAAAACACAAGCTTCCATATGTTTTAGCATGTTTGGTTAGTGTTCACTAAGAGTTTTTAATTAGGATATATGTAAACAGTAAGCCACCAGCTATGAAAGTTCACTAAAAGGCTAAACAAAGTTACTTCTTTTTAACAATATTTTGATACCTCGCTGGCTCCAGAAATCATGTCTGTTTTAAATGATGTGATTTCAGTAGAGAGTTTAAAAACTTTTGTTAAAACTCTACAGTTGCATGCACTAACAGGGGACATCATAGTTTTGGGGCGGGGTTTTTGTAGACAATGTGCAGGTCTATTAAACAGATTTACCCTCTACAAGGTTTGTCTTTTTTGTTTTAGTTTTAAACTAGAAGTTATTTCAGCATGACTAAAGACCGCACTTTACTTCTTGTACTAGACAAATGTATGCAATGATGAGTAGAGCGGTGTGTTCATGTACAATTCTCTGGGTTATTATGCAAAAATTATGCAAAAATATGTATTTTAAAAGCCAGACGGAGCAAAGTTAGGTAGTTGATCCACTTTCACAAGAGCAGTAAGAATATCACTTTTAAACCCTTCTGGCTAAGGAACATGAAAATAACGTTAGTGGGTGCAATATTGCTTGGATGCTGTAGGAAATTATCAAGCACTTGTAATCCAAAGCATGTTGGTCATGTTGCTTAGAACTGGTATCTCACGTACGATGCACACTTGGCCTCTGGCAGGACGCTGCCCTAGTGGGGGTTCTGTCTGCACACCGTGGTGTCTGGAACCCAGTTCAGTGGGGGCACTCTGGAAGTGTCATTCATTTGTCAGAATAGAGAATCTATGTAACTTTCTCTTTGTATTTATCTCAATAAATCCTGTGACTGTTTTATAAACCAACTTGTGGTAACTGACTTCTGTCATAAGTGGGATGTAAATGTATTTGTTTGGATGTTGAAACATCTCCCTAGCATAAACACTGTCATCTGTCAAACCAGCCTTGAGTGTGGAATTCGTTGTACTGTGTGGTAGAACATCCATTATGGGTCCAGAGATTTGAAGTAGCTCTTCCTGCACTTTTTCCTTGAAGTGAGCATGCCAAAAGTGCTTTGAAACTAAAATCGTTCTGTCAGAACTGAAACTCTAACCGGATGTACTTTAAATGAAGAGAACCTGTGTGTGCTGGGTGAGACTGGCATTCAGATCTTTATCTTAAATCCTTCCTTCTCCAAACTTCAGCCTGGAAGGACATTCGGGACTGTGTTTTCCGTGTGGTGTTGCTCTCGGACATCCTACATTAATGAACTCTGTGTAGTTGTTAGGCCTTGGGGAGCTGTCGCCTGGCTGGTTGGTTTTGCTTCTGATCTCGGGAGTCTTCTACATCTGCTGCTGCGGTTGGCCTTGTGGCTGTTTCAGACAGTCCCTGGCTGCTCCATCCTGTGCTCTAGAATGTCTGCCAACTGCTGCAAAAGAGTATCAGACCTCCCCTCTCTTTTCGCTGCAGGGTTTTAGCTGAAGCAAAAGTGAGGACAATAAACAGGCCCCTGCACCCCCCCCCAAAGCCTACCCACACGCCTTGAGTTAGGGCACGAGACCCCTATGTAGTAAACTGTAAACACAAACAGCGGTGTGTTCTTTTTTTATTACATGGACTAAACATGTAGATTGAGATCTAGACTTCAACAAAGAAAACAGGAATGTAAAATACAGGCGAATTTCAGTATTTACCTGATGAGTTACTACTTTGTTTCTCTACTGCTTGTCTTCCAAGTAAGTTTATATCATCCTAGTGAAAATCAAAAGATGGGCAGGAACAAAAATTTTTCTGTAATCACTCTGGTGTGTTACTTTCCTTGGTGTTCTCTGATAAGTTCAGATAGATAGGCTGTTACATCACTCATGCAGACTGTACTTCCGTGATGTCAGGTTATGCTGCTTGGATGCTGTAACGTGCTTATGACACCCAGGGGCATCTATACACGGAGGGCTTTGATACAAGGGGAATGTCGAGGGGAGGGAGGGAATACTACCAGGTCTAGACCCCTGTCCTTAGAAGGGTACCAAGCTTATCCTAAAGGTCAAGTCTCATGAATGTTTCCTGGTCAGGAAGTGCTTCATCACCGAGCCTTCCTGGCCCCTGCGGACCTTTAGTGTCCAGCTCTGTCTAGCTGAAGCTAATGAGATCTTTTCACTGCCTCGATGCCAAAATGAAGATGCTTAAGTCCCATTTAGAACTGTTGACGGAGATCCCCCTTCATTTCCAGCATCTTCAGTACCTGGATGAAGGTGAGAACCTGTAACCTCTGGGACTCTTGGCGGTTATTTGTAGTATCTCTTCACCTGCTAGTTATAGCTATGTCTAGGTTCTGGATGAAGGTCAGGGCTCCGCTTTCCTCTCTTTACTGTACTGCAATTGGATTTCAGCTTTTGACTTAATGTGTAACTTTGCTTCCTACTCCTTAAAGATAATGGATCTACTCAACAGGGTCTCTTTAGGTTAGAGGTCACAAATGCTGACCTCTAAATTCCTGCTTAGCCTTGTCAACAGCCAATGCCAGTACCTGGCGGATTCACCTCAGCCTGGAACAGCTCTAGTAAGGCTTTGGTCAACCTCTCCATAGTTAGAATTGTGTGGAGCGGTGTCTTTTTTTTCCCATTGCATCTGCTGAATGTGTGGTGTTGGAGTACTTGGCTTTGGAGGTAACAAGCAGAGATGGCCATCAAAACTTGTTTAAACCTGCTATTTAAAGCAAAATAACTCTTCCTACTATTTGCTTTCTCAGATCAAACAAACTTGGTGCATTCTTTTTTATAATAAAGACACCATGTATGCATGGATATACAAGTATTTTTCTCCTACAGTCTTGGTACTTAACATGTTAGCTGTAGCTTTCTCTGGGTTACAACTGTATTATCCCAAGAGCGCTATATTGTAGCCGTTTCTAGGCTGGGAGCGTATCTGTGTTTTCACAGCTTTAGCA